CAGGAGGTCCTGCTGCCCGGCCCACACCTGCCCGTGGTCAGCAGCCGGCTGGGCTGGAACCCCACCTGGGACTCTCTCCTGCTCACCCGGCGTCGGTCCTCTGAGGCCGTTCCCATCGCAGCTGCGGCCTCGGGACCCCTTCCCTGTCACCACCCGACCCATGCGGAGTGACCCCTGTGCTGAGTCGGCTCTGGCCCTGCTGTACCCTGACGGCCGCCGCCCTCTGTCGCCCTGAAACCCCGGACCTCGCCGTCCTCACTGTCCTCTCCGTCCTCACTGTCCTCACCCTTCTCCCTGTCCTCACCCTCCTCCCCGTCCTCCCCCTCCTCCCCCGTCCTCACCCTCCTCCCCATCCTCAGGGCTGCAGAACCTTTGCTGGAGCAGCGGCTCGACCACCATGGCCCCATGGCCAGGCTCCTCCTCCACATGGGCTTCACCCTTGGGGCCCCCCAGGCTCCCTGCCCTGCCCGCCCTGTGTCCTGGCTGTGACCCCTCACGCCCCCTGACCTCACAGTCCCTGGTGACAGACAAGCCTGAGCTGTCCCACACTGACCCCTGTGGCCTCCCTCAGACCCTGGCGGGAGCAGCCACCTCCAGGCGCTACCTGGTGATTATCCAGGAGGAACCGGCCACCAGGCTCCCGCGCCTCCTGCTCACACCCGACTGCAGGCGTCACCACCCCTCCAGGTCAGCACAGCTCCCCTTCCTGCGGGCTGCACGTCCCAGAACCTCCCCCCCCATTTCCCAGGGACCCTGGGAGCTCTCCCACAGCAGCTTCCAGCTGTCCCCCGACCCACACGGGAACGCGCCAGCACAGCAGGCCAGGACGGACCAGCTCCCACCGCCTGCTGCTGGCGGTCAAGCTGGCGCCCAGGACCGTCCTCTCTGGCCAGCACGTGGCTACGAGCCCTTTGTTAGGACGCCATCGGCCTCCAAGGTCCTGGTTTAACAACAGGTGTTCACAGGTCTGACCGGACCTGGCCCACAGCCTACCTCCCACCCAGGACGGAGCGCCTGTCCACGCCTGCGCACGGCTAACAGCCGGCAGAGACCCCGTCTATGGACACGGGGACCTCTGAGGACTCCACGTGCCAGCACACAGCGATGCCACCCGTGTGTGGTCTGGGGGTGGCCAGGCCGCCCTAGAGTCACCTGTGGCCGTCGCAGCCTCAGGTCAGCAGGACCACCATACATGAGGCCACAGGGTCTGCGCACCGGGGGCCCAGCGAGACCCCAGCACAGGCCCAGTGAGACGCCGGGGGCCCAGTGAGACGCCGGGGGCCCAGCGAGACGCCGGAACACCGGGGGCCCAGCGAGATGCCGGCACAGGCCCAGTGAGACGCCGGGGGCCCAGCGAGACGCCGGAACAGGTGCAGCGAGAGAAACCGTGTGGTGAGTCAGTCCTTTTCAAGGGAGTGGGGGGCAGAGAAAGGCCCAGGTGTCGAGAGGCTGCACCGGGCTCTGGAGCTGCCGGTCGGTGGAGTGAGCTTGGCTAGTGCGCCTGACGCAGGAGCCAGCTGGTCTGCGATGAGCTCGGCCAGGAATGAACCGGCCTCACGCCTGGGGGCGGACCCTCATGTCACGTTGGCAGGTGTCTCACTGAACAGTGAGCTGTGTGTGAAGGGGGCCTGTTCCGTGGGAAGCGCACGGTGCGCTGCCGCCTGTCTGCAGTGCGTCATTAGCTGGCAGTTGTGTGTGTCGCTGTCTGCCCACACGGAGCTCTGCTTAAGGCCGCCCTCCATCTCAGAGCCCGGGTGGGGCTGCGAGGCTGGGGCGCCAGAGGCTGGGCCAGGGCGGAGCTTTACGTGGCTCGAGGCGCCTGCCGCCCAGTCACTCCTCGGCTCCTCTCCAGTCCCTGGTGCCCAGCTCACTATTTTGAAATCGTAAACTTAAATGAAGCACCTAAAATGCCTCTGAACTCGCCAAGCGCGGTGACTGACACGGAATGGCTGCGCCAGGACTGACTAATGGCTACATGACGCCCGGGAGCGGTGCCCGTGGCCTCACGGTCTTCCTGGCCGTCAGCAGAAGCAACTCCCGGGACGGGCTCCTCTCAGGGCCGTCCTCACGCTCTGGTGCTTTAACAGGAGCCTCGCGGGGAGTTTCCCGCCAACTAGCGGCTGCTTCTTAGTGGCCTGACCCCTCGCAAGCCGACCTGCTAGTTAACATGGAGCGTCATGGCCATTACTTTGGCCCCTGGAGGCGGCTTAGTGACGTTAACACTCCACTTAACCGTAAGGCCTGGAAACCACCGCCTTCTACTCTCCCTGCTCCACACCCCGCACACAGTAGGTGCTCCACGGTCGTCTCTAAAACCTGAATGCACCCAGTGTCTCACACGGTGTCTCTGTTAGGAATTCCGTGTCCTGAGCACCTCGGGAACCTTCTAGAATGGCTCACAGAGACTGTCTGAATGGACTGCACGTTACTCCTTGTTGCAGAATGACCTGGACACCAGTCAGAAACCACGGTCATTCTCACGCAGCAGCGTCTCGTCTCCTCCGGACTTGCTCACGGGCAGGAAGTGTGACTGCTCTCCGCATGGCGCAGCTGCAGGCCCCACAGGACGTGGGCTGCGTGGGACGGACAATGGAGATACCGCTGCTCCGGGTGCAAACGGTAAAACCTCTCACTTCTAGGGGCCCCTCCGTGGAGCGCCCTCCCTCAGCCACGCCCTCTGCTTCCTGCGACACCTTGGTCCCCGGGACCCGGGTCTGGCGGTGAGACCTGTAGCCTGGAGAACGGACTGGAAAGGCCCAGGGCCAAGACTCACTTTCACTCCTTCCACCTCCACGGCTTCCGAGCAAACGGAAGGGCTGCAGCGGGAGCCTCTCCGAGGGGCAGCCGCCCGGATGTCTCAGCGACGCCCCCTCTGGAACCCCAGCCCCTGGTGTACCATCGGGAGTGACCTCCCGGGAAGGCGAACCCGTGGTGCCCACTCCCAGTTTACATCTTCCTGTCACACTTCTGCCGGACATCCCGTGCTCCCATGGTGCCTGGGACCCGCGTGCAGGCACTGGCCTGTGGGACCTGCAGTTACGTAAACCGAATTACAAAACGAGAACAGATGCCAACCAGGGACCCAGGGCCTCAAGGCAGCCGCGGGCCAGAGAGCAGGCGCGTGGCAGGCGATCCTGTGTGCGCGTGCGTGCGATGGCTCGAGGTGTGGCGAAGACACCTGCTCGGCTCAGGGACCTGGGCAGCTGCCCTGCGGGGTCAAGACCATGTCGGGAAGGACGAGGCCCCGAATGAGAAGCCACCAGATGCAAGTTCCACCGACGCCCACTCAACAGCACCGAGTCACCGTCAGACCCCTTCTTGCCTGGACATCGTCTCCTGGGGGTCACGAGTGCACGCAGCACATGCACGTCGTGTGCTTCCCTCCGACCAGTCCAGCCACCGCTTGGTAATGCGTTTCTAAACTGTCACTACTCGCTGAGTGTCACCGCCATGTGCTTGAATATCCCCCCTGTCGTCTACAGTTTAAAACACAGAGGAGAACAGAGGTGGGAGGCCTGACAGAACCCGTGCAGGTAACAGAACTCCGATAAAAGCTCACACAGAGGAAACTGTTTCTGTGTCTTCGGACAGACCCTTCCTAAGAGCATCAGTTATTGGAAACGGATGTGTTTTCGGACACAGGGGCTGGGAGTTGGGCCGCCCACGCCCGCCTCCGAGTACCTTTCACGTCTTCGTCCTCGATGGTGGTGTTGGAGCTCTCCGTGGACTCCTGTGGAGGAAACACACGTTGCAGACAATGAACAGCCGCTCCTTTTCTTCCCGGAAACTGGCGAGAGCTGCTCACGTCATGCAAACCCGCAGCAGGCGTGTGCACATCGGACATGCAAATGGACAGACACCCTATGGCGGGAACAGAATGAAATGCCAAACGCTGCCCACACTGGGGAAGGCGCCCCCGTGGCCTCACCTCGAGCCTAAGGCCGTGCCTCTCAGAACTGAGAACGGGTCTGGGTCCCCGTCCCCCAGGTTCTCTGTGTCTGTGAGAAACTGGCTCTATTAGCCTAACGAGCAGGAACCGACGACAGAACCATTCTTATTCTCCATCTAGCATCCGGGGGCAGCCCCTGCTCTGGCCCAAGGGGCCCACGAGCACAGACGCACACCTGGCAGCCTGCAGGTCTCAGCCCCTGTGGAGAGCGAGCCTCTCCGGCCCCAGGAGGGGAGGAGGCAGGGGGATGTGGTCGTGCTTCCAGGAGCGTCGCGTGGGCAGCTCCGTGCAGCCAGCGCGTCACTGACTCAGGACAGCGAGGTTCTCTCTCACGTCCGAGGCGGCACTGCTGCCATGACAACGACAGACAGAGCTGCTCTGTGAGCCCCGTGCCGCCGAGCCGGGGAGCACCCGAGGCCCGACTGCCTGAGGCCGCTCCGCACAGCGTCCGATACACGATCCGTCAATGCAGTTTCTAGCGAAGAAACGTACTCACGTTCCTAAGACACAACCTTCCACTTCAAGTGACCAAAGGCCAGAAACACCACCACTGGACACAAACCTCCACTCAGCAGCTGTGTGCTCAGGGACGAAGAACGGCTTTTGCAAAATGGTGCCAACACCAGCCAGCGTCCCTTAGAGATTCAATATTCAAAACAGTGATCCATGCATATGACGGTCACAGCGAGTACGTAACCAAAGGGACAGACCCATCAGCGCACGTGTAGGGTCTCCGTCCGCCCAGAGCAGGGTCCTCCGGCCTCGGCCTGGCCTGGCTCACCTTCCGCTGGCGAGGAGGTGCAGGCACCTGCGCACAGACGTCCACAGAGCCAGGCAGCCAGGCAGCAGCCACTGCAGAGCCACAGAG